TGTCTGTTGGTGCTTCTGCAGTCAGCCTCAAGCAGACACTTGACAAACTGCAGGACTTTGCACTTCTGCATCAGCTTCATTTTTCAACACCTGAGGTTGCAGCTCGGCCTTAACTCATAATTCTGATATGTGGAAACTTTCACTGACCTGCTCTCTGAACTGTTCCTGAGACAGGCAGTCGGTCACATTGACGCAGCCCAACAGGCAACCAGTGGGGTAATCTTTAGGAAATCTGGGCTCTGCAGAAAAAGAGTAAAAACTTTGTAGGAATCGTTCCCAGGTTGTTGTCACTTCAAATGAAATGCTGCATGTAGTAGAACAGAGGTAGGTCATCTCTTGGATTCACAGCCGTATTGTATGCATTACATTTACCTTTCTTGAAGATGTGGCGGTACATCGATTCCACCTCAGCAACCTCCTGAGGGGTGGGCTTCTTGGCTGCAGCAGCAATCCAAAGACGACCTCGATGAGATGTGTACCAAGTTCGGCCTTCTACCCTACACACCCACAACACATAAAAAGCAAAGTTAGCTCTGCTTTCATTTACCTGACAGAGAAAAGTTTATACATTGTGATTTTTGTGGTTATAGTGACATTTTATCTATCTTCAAAGCTCACTCAGGAGTTTATTTACTCTTTACCTCTTGATTCCTTTCACCAGCAGTGATGCCCACGGTTGGTGCATGCTGAGGCACCAGCCTCCGTCAGACATCTCCTGCAGCTCTTTATCCTGGAGCCGCAACTTGGAACGTTCTTCTCCTCCTTTGTCCTTAGCTGAACTCTTTACCTGCTCCACGTTTCTCTTCTTGTTTTCACTTCCTCCAACATCCACCCACTAGAAAGTGCATTCATTTTACTGATTAAGATCATAATTACACTGTCCTCTTTCAACCATTAACTGAGAGCCATTTATTTTCCACGGTTCATGACGTTTAAATTTACAAGAAAATTAATAAGAATAGTCTTTACTGTGGTTATAACAGTATGTCGAATCTAAATACATAAAAAATTAAATGTAAGACTTTCCATGAAAACGAATACAATCTGTAAAAATATCAATGGAAAAATATAATATAGGGGCAACGGTGGTCTAGTGTTTAGTTTGTGCGCCCCATGTACAGAGGCTGTTGTCCTCGAAGTGGGCGGCCCTTGTTCGAATCCAGCCTGAGGCTCCTTTCCCGCATGTCATTCCTCTCTCTCTCTCTCTCTCTCTCTGTCTCCCTGATTTCCCCCAAAAAAGAAAGAAAAAAATAATACAATGTATGTTAAAAAAAACAACCTCTGGTGCAGACTGCATGATGTTGGGGTTGACCAGATCTCCGAGGGTCTGCCTTCCATCTTTTCTTTCAGAATATGTTGTTGACTTTGACTTAGGATCATTGTTCATAGCTTTTAGCGTCTCATCCAACCTGCAAGTAGTGCAAAAGGAGAAGCTATTCAGCATAACTACAAATACATCTCACACATGGACATAAATCTGACCTTGCAGCCTTGATTAAAAAGGTGTAAAATGATCGTACTTGTTGTAGTACTCGTTGAGGCCGCTCCCTTCATCTATCACTTGTCTACCAGCAAAGTCCAAAGTGATCTTCCTGTCCTTGCGAGATCCATGGCGGAGTTCTCTCAGCTCCTCTTCCTTTTTCTTCAGCTTTTCTCGCTCACCAGGCGACAACCACTGATTGGATTCAGTGGCAAAGTAGTCGGATTCATCATCCAGAACCTGAGTTCTCCTCACACTGGAATTAAAAGGGACCGTAAATAAAAAAACATTCATGATTTCCCTCTGAAATGTGCAGTTAATCTGTGTTTTGTGATACCTGTTCCTGTCATATTCCAGCAGCTTTTCTTTGTGTTGAACGGCCTTCTCTAAGCCAGCCTTCATCATGGCCTCTTGGTGTGGAAGATAGTCTCTTTCTCCAGCCTCTGTCACCAAAATTAAAAACAACTCCATCCCATCAATCCTCTTCATTCTTATTCTTAGTGTTTCATGACTCTGACTAGTTTTTACTCTCACCTCCCATAAGCTTCTTTCTTAGTTTCTGGCTTTTGTTGGAGTCTCGTTGCAGGATCTCATGCTCCTCTTTTGTGCAGACCTGAAGCAGTAGAAAAACTGTGAGTAAATAATAATAGACATCAACATCACAAGAACTAGTTGAAAAGAATAGAATCTAAGGACTCAAAAGACTTTAGTACCAGGCTTCCACAGAAGAGGCAGGGTCCCGAGCCCTCCTGCTCACACACAATGCGGCCGCAGCTGATGCAGTTGTTGATAAGTCTGTGCTTCTGGGCAAGGCACTCACACGCATGTCGACCAGGCAGTAAGACAGCCAGCCTGTCCTGTCCCTCCGTATTATACAAATTGACGTACTTACTTTTCTTCTTCGTTGAGGAAGTACTGCTGTTTTCTTGGGCCTGAGGAAACAAGGCAAGAAGAAATCAAATCAACGAGGTAGGAATATTAGCGTACTGACGAAAAAAAGAAAAGAAAATTAAATTATAAAAAAAAAAAAAAAAAATTGATCAACACAAGCACTTGCAGTGGTGAGTCATGGATGTTCTCAGACCACATTAACTTCATAAAAGGAGGTTGTGAGATAGCAAAGGTTTTGGCTTACCCTCATTTGATCTATTGGGGTTTTGACTGCCTCAGGCTCAGGTTCTGTTTGGCTCACTGTCAACACCTCCTGTTTGTTACGGCCCTTGCGTTTAGACTTCTTCTGGGTGTCTTTGGTCATGTCTTGTGAATCTAGGAAACAGTTTCAATTTCAAAGAAATTCTGAATACGCTGAAAGACATTGAACACAAATCAGACAATAATTTCTCATGAAAAAGTCATGCTACAACTCTACAATTCTACAATTCCCTTAGCAGACGCTTTTATCCAAAGCGACGTACATAGCAGGCTTTTATTGGCTAGAAGAAATTGATTCTACAAAACAATTCAACACATTAGACATTTTTTTTGCATACCTGCTGATGCAAATGAGTCCTTGAGAAGGAAAGACCCCGGTGCATCAGACGCCTGATTCTGAGTCTTTTCCCATCTGTGGAGGAGCTCGTCGATAAAGATCCCTTTCCTCCCATCTGTGCCCTGCAGGAGGTCTCCAACGTATTCCTCTATCTCCTCGGCTTTTTCGATGGACAGGATGTATCTAGAAATTGAAATGATCCAAGAAAAACAGAACAAAGATTTCACGCTCTGCTGTGCTATGACTGTGCGTCATCCAACAACGACTAATCTTTACTTCACACACATACAAGAGATGACTCGCTATTATTGCTATTCTATGGATTACAAAAACTGGTCAAAGCATTTCAACACGTATCTGTCAGTGGCTGCTGATTATAACAATAATCTGCCATCCTTACATTTGTTTCTGTTTGGATAAAGCTGTTACTTAAGGTTTTTCACGTTTGCTTTTGAGGTGTAAAATATTTAGGTGCAACAGAAAACACCTGAAGAGAGGGTATGTTGTCTTTGATATCTATTACTTCTAAACCAAACATGAAAATATATATTTTTAAATCTGGAAATTGTTATTATTTATTAATTTAAAAAAAATACATCGATGCAGCTTCAACAGCTTTCCTTGTAAAGTATCTGTGTTGAAAACAGGCTTCAAAAAATAAAATATTGAAACTCGGGTCTCATTATGTTTATGTGTTATTATAACAAACATCACTTTGTTTGTCTGATATCTTGTTTACATGTTTACGTCATACTCAGAGGGTTTATAAGCTGCATGATTACAAACATGTATCCAGCTAAAAGCAAGAGCAAAGATATACAAATGAAGAAGAGTCTGCCTTCAGTTTGCTAATAAACAGCTGACTCACCTGTCAAACTGTCTACCTGCGACACTGAAGCTGCTTCAGAGGAAATAGTCAAATAAACACACAAGAGAGACGTCAACACTCAAATTACAACTTTTCACTTCTTACTGGACGATGTCTTCGCTTGCCTCCAACCCGAACTTGTGGTGTAGCTGGTCCACACACCACTGCAACAAAGCCTCCGACATTGTCACGAATTTAAGTCTTTTTTTTTTCAAATCAAAGCTTTAATGTGTCGTGTCAACTGGGTGGATGTGTTTCCAATCGGCGGAATAATAATGGCGCACACAGGAGGCGCGGAGGAGAACTCCATCCTGAATAAACACGTCTCATGGAATTAAAAGTTCCGACTGAGAATTTGGACGACTTCTTCAGACCATTTCAAAGTAGAAAAAAAACACACTTAACATCATCGGTCATTATCTTCTCGCTCTCTTCAGGTAGACGCAGCTGTTTATAAAACATGTACAGATTTTCTAGGTGTAACTGGGGTGCGTCTGTAAAGGTCGGTCACTAGGTGGCAGTCTTGTAATGCGAGGAAATTTAAATGCCTGCAGAGGTCGGTAGGTGGAGATATCATCCGCCTCAACCTTGATTTAGGTACTAATTTCAAACTAGAAAAAAATAATAATTGTAAAGCCCCATTTCATACATGACTTCAAATTAAAGCTTCATACCTGTCCTATGTATCCGATGTCCCTTAAGAGATTAGATTTTTGAATCGGCTATACAAATAATCTCTCATTTTTTGGGGGGAAATGACACCTCTTCTGTTTAAAGATTATTTGAAATAGTCACATGCATTATTCATTAGGGCTACATTTTCTTTCAGTCAAATAAGAGAGACTTTAAATTCAAGCAATAGTGAGGTTGTAGCGTCAGTTTTCTTTCATTCTTGTCTTTAAATCCAACAAGGATGGAGGCACGCTGGTGATTCATCCTTCACACAATTCTACAGGATGTTTCACGGAGTACATGTGTGTTATCCCCCACGTTTATTAAGGATGTCAGGAAGTCTATTGTTGTCAGTTTCTGTATGCACTCAAGACATGCACAAAGGGCTTAAGGTTGTCATTTGCAGTCAAAGTAGGAATATGTAGATGAAGCAGTAGTCTGATACACTACACATGAAAGCGGTCTGCAAGAACACTCTCTTTACATGCTGCCAGCTTTTAAAACAGAAAAAAATACATTTATTTGTCGGAAAAATGTTATCAGACAGGAACAAAACATCATACATTTAAGTTAGTACACTTAAAAACTATGATGGCTTCACAGTGATTCTTTGAGTCACATTATCACATTATGTCAGAGTAAAAGTTAGTAAGAAACAATTAGTAAGACCAAGTAAGATTTTTGTTAAATTGATGTGTTCAGTTATGCTTATAACTATAATCAACATAATGTCTATTTATAGACAGCGATTTGCACTGTTTGGATACATAACCCATACATGGGTTTTCATGTGATACAACACATACATTTCAATACATGGTAGTACAGATGTTATGTTTGTATATGTAATGTATATAGAAAAAAGAACAATCATACACTCATAATATCACATAATAAACCAAATGTGTATTCTTTATGGATTAGGAAATGAAGCCACTTAAAGAATACTAAGAGGTTTTAGTTATTAGTCGTTTTAAACTTCAGATTGATTTAGACGTTTTGTTCTATTACATTGTTTAACATGGCAGACTAAAGCTGGTCATTTCATCAACTTTAAAAGGCAAACCTTAATTGGATGTCACATACAATTTGACCTGATTAAAAAAATGTGTTAATATATGAGTCTTGTACTTGAAGACTGAAAACCTTCCAAATTAATGGCCCATGTGTTTACAAATGTAACTTTCAATTGAAAAAGTCTTTGGAAATGGCCTCGACAAAGTTGGGTGCTGACATAAGGATTGAGATGGTGCAGAGGATAGTGAAGAGCGAGAAAGCCATGAGACAAAGCCTGTCGATAACAGCTGCAGCAAATTTCCACTCGTTGCACGTGGACTCGTCCTCGTCTTGGGCACGGAAGCGTTTGGCAATGAAGCGCACCTCGTCCAGGATCTTGGCCAACTCTGGTTCCAGGCTGCCCAACGAGGAGACGTGAGCTGCGGGGAGGAGCAACTCCTCTTCACCTGCCCGAGCAACCAGACGTCCACAGAGGACCCCGGAGTCAGGCGAGGTGGCGGCTGTGGAGTAGGGAATGCTCTCCAGGCCTCGGACACCGACATAGAGCATGTTGCCGTTGGTGGATTGGGAGGCTGAGGCGCTGGCGTTGAGCTCCATGCTGGTCAGGCTGCTCCGTGGACCCTTGTTGTGACAGGCTGGACGCACCCGCTCCTCACCTGGACGCTTCATACGCAGGAACCAGGCGCACCAATTCAGTAGGAAAACACGGGTCTATGAGAAAAGTGAACAATAAACAAGAAAGTATTGAATAATACTCTAAAACTAAACATGAAAAAATCTAACCCAAATGTAGAATACATTACTCAAAGGGAGGCGTGTGTGAAAGTGTTTTTACAAAGTGTTTTTAAAAGGTGACCCAGGTCTTTTCAAACAGTGACAATTTTAAAAACAGCTGATTCAACCATTTTCTGAGGTAATAGCAGGAACTGATCAGTTGATAGGTTTCAATTGCAAAACACTTGGTCAACACATTTATGTGCCAAAGGTGTAATAAATGCCCCGCAGACGGTTAATTATTAAACTAGTCCGCCCCCAAAGCGGGCCCATAGCTTCCTGGTAAACAGCTACAACATGCTCGCCAATCAGTCAACTCAGCCTTATTATGCATCATTCTTAAACCTTAATATAGTTAGAACAGATGAGTTATAAAAACACTCAATCCGTACAGTTTTAACCAACAAAGAAATTAGCTATAGAGACCAAAACTGTTTTTTTTGCAACATGCTGTAAACATGTTTGTGTTTGCTGTAAAAAAAAAAGGGCATTTTTTTAACTAGGGGCTTAATGAGTATTTTTTTTACTTTTACAGCCAGCCTCAAGTGGACACATGAAAGAAGCAATACAAATTAATCTTGGTAAACAGTTTTGAGTGAGTCAGTATTGACTTTAACCAACTAAAACAGCAGTGTTTCCCAGTAAATGTCCTCATGTTACCACAATATAATATACCGTCTCAGTGTATTGCCAAAGGAAAGTTATTATAGAATCAAGACATAAGTCAGAGAGAATATGTAAAAAAGATACTCACCCACTTTGGCATCTTGCCTCCATTGGGGTCATGGTGGTGATATTGTAAAACTATAACTGTAGCAATCACTGAGAGGCCAACAATGACCATGGTGATGGCAAAGTACTCAGCTAGGGGAAGGAAAAATAGAAAAACTTATCAAGAAAGGATAAAAGAAACAAATTCATGTTACAGCACAGGAAGAATAAACAGAGGATAAACTAAAAAGGAAAAGGGGAAATTCATGGCCAACGAGAGTCAAACTCCTCACATCCAACCCACAGCCCTTTTAACTTCAAATATTGTGACTCTAATATCTAAGTTAAAAAGTTGTAATATTGCTAGGCTGCTTAAACTTCCTTTCACCCTAATATAGGAAAACGTCTGATGAAAAATGACAACACAGACCTATCAAAGGCACCGAGTCTGATGTGGGAGGCATAATCTCTGCAACGAGCAGCATGAAGACGGTGAGGGAGAGCAGGACGGTGATGCCTGGGAACGAGAGAGAAAGAAAGCAAATGATCCCCATGGTTCTTTGATGTGGACATTTTTCTACAAGTCTTCATAAACTAGATGTTATATGACAAAAAAGAGGCTGTCAAATACTCTCTCCATCCTTAAAATATATAGTAAAATCATACAAAAGATGGATTGGGCTAATGTGTTTTTGCTTTGTGATTTCCATATGCTGACAGTTCAAACAAGTGCATAAAAAAGATGAATCACGGACAATCGTAGTGATGAAATCAACTCTTTCATACACCGATGATTAAAAAAAGAAGATTAAATGAAGATGATATGACTGTAAAGAACAAAATTCAATGTGAGCTATGTCATGAAATATTTCTAATAATTATTCGTATGACAGCACTGCATTATAATAAAATCTGAGAATAAATGCTGCTATGAAAACACATTTCTCAATAAGCGCTCACCATTCTGATAAAATAATGTCTGCCGGGTTGATATGCTGACTGCATATGCAGAATTTCTAACAAGAAATGCACCAGCATACAGCCAAACAGGAACACGCATGTACACACACGGTTTGTGTAGAGGGGTTTAATTTAAATCAACAGTCGAGCTATAAAACTCTTCAAAAACATGATAGGGAGCATTAAGATCAACTTAACCTCCGACTATAATTCAAATCAGAACTTCTTAGTATTTCTTACTACAGCTCTTTGTCTATGAACTCTCAAAAATAGAGGAGAAATGCACACATCTGGACACACACACACACACACACACACACACACACACACACACACACACACACACACACACACTCACACATCTGGCTCTAAAGCTCTGTTTTCCTAATGAAGGACTCCAGCTGCAGAGTGGGACTCTTATGATTTACGATAGGCACAACTTCATAAATCAAGGCCCCAACTTCCCCTATGCACTCCCACAAACTGCACACACACAAACATACACACACACACACACACACACACATATACATAACTCGCCCGCAAATACACCAAGTCTGTCTTAATTAATGCATGAAATAGGCTAAAACATTAGAGTCAGCCGTGACAACTGTGATAAGATAAAATCATTTTCTCGGTACACTAACAGTTAAGTCAGACACTCAGAGCTGGTTATCAGATTACTTCACAGGACCACGGAGGAAGTGGACTAATAAGAATCCATTGTTAATCAAAGACTGACTCATTACCGACGAGGCTAATGGGCCAGGATATAAAATCATGATGAAAAACTGAAGAACAGTAGAGGATGGATCTGTGTAAAAACCACTGGGGTGATAAAAGATTTCTTTTGATTATGATCATGTTAGTTATCTGCTTTACTCTTTCAACGTTACTATAAATAGATATAAAAGATATATGGACGTTGTCTATAGATCACAAAGTTAAAGTAGCAGAAGGCCACTAAAGTAAGCCTGTTAAAAAATATAGTCCATTATCACATATCTCTGCATGCAGGGTTATTATGGTGATAAAAAAAATGTGTCAAAGAGCAAAACCAAGTAAATGTTTTTAAAGAACATCTGTCACTTAAAAAAAACAAGTGTCCACATCTGGCAACGATTGAATGGGTCATTTGTGTAAAAGTCTTCATGTCAGGTTTTAAACAAATGAGTTAAAGCATGTTATTGTGTAACTCCTCTGTGTTTTAAGCAAAGCTGGAAAACATATCAAGTAAGATGAAGACCTCCAGATGATATAACCTTAACATGAGCTCTCATTCCAATGCAATGACAGCACCAGGGAGTAAAGCGTGTGTGATTTATGTGTCAGGCTGTTTAGATGAAAAGTTACTTAGTAAGAGATGCACCACAGGTCACTAATGTGCAGGATGTCAGTCCACACAGCACGATGTAAAGTTTAAATCCTCTTACAGGGTGATTCAATATGAAAAGAGAGATGTTTCTGAACCCAAATTCACTTTGTAATACTGTCTTTGGGCACCCCCATACAGCCGTTTTGGACACCCCTTGATGGAGGTGGGTAAGCATCTGGTTCAGACATAACTGATTACTGATCTAAAAGCCTCTGCATTTTTCTAATAAGCTTCACGACCAGAAACGTGTTAAAATTAGGATAAATACTGGAGATGCTTTGAAAAATGGAGAGAGGTTAAAACGCAGAAACGTTTCAAGATCCATGCCGAGTTGGCTAAACACTGAAGCTACTGTGTCCACGTCATGGGCATCAACTCCAGAGAGGAGGGGGCGGGGGGGGACAGCTCTCTCCAATGTTTTGAATTTGGACTACAGTAACCTACTCCCTTTTAAATGCAATATGTCAGACTTACATATTGCTCCTTTAAAACTTTTTCCTAAATACATTTGATTAAAAAAACGTTTTTTTTAAAACTGTGAAAAAATGCAAAACAATGTGTGTAACAATCTGTTAGTCTCTTGCTTGTTGACCCAACATAGAGAGGACTGTTTTGAGGCTGTGCATTGTGGTTGTGCTGTACTGGACTGTATCTTCACCATGAAGGTCTGTTTTTTATAACTTCGGTTTGTCTGTCTGTTACTAAGTTCAATATCTCAGAAACCTTGTAAACATATCTAACAATAGACCTTTACAGTGCAGAGCTCAGAGTGATGAGGTGTTTTGGAACTTTTTGGCGTATTCTCATGAACCAGTGCATGTGCTTGAATGAAAAAATTGTTATGTTTTATTTTGGGATGTCTATCACAATGTTTATTTTGATCCAGATCCAGATCAAACAGAATGAAAAAAATAAAAGAGCCTTTGTGGAAGTAAGTCTCGAAGGTCCCCTGACTGTTAGGGGACAGTTAACCCTTTGAATCAAACCCTTTGACAGAAAATGTGAATATTTACTGCAAAGAGAGTATTACATAAATCTGTTTTTCTAGTAATTAAATGTTAAAAGAAAAAATGTCAAGGCTGAAGAACATTTTCAAAAGCATCACTAGACAATTTGGTAGAAAATGGAACTCCTACCAATGACATGTTCTGTGATCAAATGCTTCCAAAAATCAATCAGCAATGCATTACACTACCCAGAAACTTTGGTGGGAAAAGGGGTATTTTATTCAAGCTGATCTCCAACTCTCAGAGTTAAGAATATCATGTGAAAAACAGCTGCAGTTGTTGCTTAAGTTGTGTTTGCCTCTGGGGCACAGCTCAATGCAGCTGGAAACATCTTTTGTTTTTCTAGCCCCAGTGCAAACATATGAGGGGGAAAGTAAAGTGAGTTTTTTATTTCTTTATTTCTTTGCAACAAACAGCTAAACGGGCATCCTGACTCTATTAGGGCTTTCAAACTTGCAGAGAACTCCTGAAAAACTCCTGAAATTACCCGGAGAATTCACCTCGAGCCAAAAACAGCGGGGAGAGACGTTGATATACTGTTACTGCTGCTCGGTGCACAGAGTGTACGCATGCGACCGTTACAATCTCAGTGCACGTGATTAAACTCTGTTGCTTCGTCCTTCACTTCCGCGTCTACTCTTTACAACATGTTTTACCTCAGCTTTTTATCTGTCGAGCTTCATGTGTTAGTTCCCTGCTCCACTCTGGACTGATTTACCTGATCGATTTAATTACCTGTCGTTCCAAACATTGACTTTCGGTAACGTTTAATCCATCTTTAAAATGATTTAATTCTTCACTAGTAGGCAATATCACCATAGTTACTACTACTTGTAAATATAAACTAATGGCAAGTTCAATTAAAGGCAGGTTATTTAAGAGCCTTTTCAACACTGTCCAGTTGGACTCGGGTTCAGAACTTAACAGACCCTCGCATCCCCAGTGTTTCCAGATACAAAAGGCTGAATGATGCTGGCTGACTGTGTAAAAGTAGCTATAGTAAATAACAGGATTTGCATTTGAATATGAGGTAACTGGTGCAGCCGTAACAGCTATTCGCTTTGTGCTAAGTCCTTTTCTTTGAAAGGTCAAAGCTGTTTGATGTTGTCTAGTAATGATATTAAATAAAACAGGATCCTACTTGCCACCTAAAATGACTATTATGTGCTATTTGTAACGTTTCGTCACAGTGCAGAGTGAGGTTTCTCATAATAAGCTTAAGTAGAAGTTTGGAGATAGTTTTTGAATATCATTAAATTAATCTGTATTTGTAAGACAAATGCTTAAAACCGGCTGTAAGATCCCAGTGCAGCTTTTATACGGAGGGTTGGTATATTCTTGTATATGTGTGTGGTATGTGTGTTTGATCTTAACCCAATGAGATCTTCTCTCCAGAGTCAGCGGGCAGGAGGAAGACGAGCAGGGCCAGAGTGGAGATCAGGACACAGGGGATCAGCAGGTTGAGGCCGTAGTAGAGAGTCCGCCTCCTCATGACCACGGTGAAGGTGATGTCAGGGTACGGCTCCTCACAGCACTCGTACGTACGCTCATTCTTCTTTCCTGGAACTCCTGTGGGACAGAAAAAAATGGAGCCTGGTTGAGTAAATTAAAGGTAAACGTATTGTGAATGGTCATACTACTGGAAAAGAGCAACAAACACATTAGTGATTCTTTAAACCAGTGTCACACTCGAGGTCGGGCTGTATTTTGAATATCAGCACAGCTGTGATTCAGTCATGACGCTGCAGGCAGAGCTCTGAACATATCACAGCTGTAATAAAGCCCAGAGTGTGATATTACTTTACACAGTTACACAAGCAGCATATATCAGTTAGGTATTATTGGCCACAGATTTTTTTTGTTTGTTTGTTCATTTGTACATTTATTTGCTCCACCAACATCACTAGTTCTGTAAATCAGCAGGGACTGGACCACTGACTATTGCTGTATGCTTTGTGTGTGTTGGCATGTTTTAGCAGACAGCCTCTTTTTATCATCATGAACATTTATCTATAAGTACATTTGTTACACGCACACAGTAAATTACATGGCATCTCTGATTCTGGTGTAACATTACTTTTGCTGTGACATTAATCGTTGTTCAGAACACATGAGGTGGAGTGATCCTCACAATGAAAAGTCCAATCGTCTTGTACTTTAGTAATATCACACAAGACGGAGTGATTAGGCTTACTATCACAGATAATCACAGCAGGGCTGATTAGTACAAATCTCAACCTGGAGTGTGATATTTCTAGTTTCACTAGTTCCATAGCTTAACTGAAATGGAGCTGTTGCCAAGCAACCCAAACATACTCCGACACTTCTACTACTTTGTTTGCGTCCATGTTTACCACAGACAAACTGCTTTAGGTGTTTTCAAACCAAATAGTTCTGGGGACTTTTTGAAGAGGAACTATACACTAGGGAGTTCCCTGAGAACTATTAAATTCAATTCAATTCAATTTATTTTGTATAGCGTCAACTCATAACAAGTGTTATCTCAAGACACTTTACAAAAAGCAGGTGGGTGGGGGGGGGGGGGGGTTGTTCTGGCAGGCCGTCAACCAACGATCTACACACCATTCAGATTCGCACTGCCATGGTGATGGGAGAGTACCTACTCTGAAGCAGGAACTAAAAAGGTTCCTCTAAACGGGGTTCTAGGAACCAAAATATTTCCTAGTACCTGCGGTGCAGAATCACTAAAAAAGGGGGATGGTTCCAACAGTTCCAAGAGCTATGAAAAAGTTTATTTCGGTCCGAAAACGGCTTTTGTTTTGTACCGCCTGCATTATTTCTCATTGTTTAATTTATCATGTAACCAGTGAAAATATAATGTTGAATGACTGAAGAATCAGATGGATTAATGAAGACAAACTGCTATAATGAGAGATGCAGAGTGAAACATTTTGTTTAATGTCTCAGTGCAGTTGTCCTCTATCAGTCAATGAATGTGTAAATATATTGCCAAAGCATACAATAAAAAATAATACAATACCAAACCAACCAACAATACCTCTATCTCAGCACTTATGTAAAGCATCTTGTCCAATCAGATTACTTAGAACTAACTAGAACTGTTGCATGTTTAAAAACCCAGTCCTCTGCACTTTCCCTCTTACCGACAAGATCCCACTCTCCGTTAGAGACGTAGTTGCTAATATCAGCCTCTATCATCTTTAAGTCCAGAGAGTAGCCCCCATATGTCCAGGAGCCAAACTTCAGGTCGCATCTCTGCTCATCAAAGGGAAACCAGCGCACGTCGATGTAGCAGGTGCTCTTGAAGATCCCTTGAAACATGAAAATATGAAGACAGAATAAGAGACCTGCTGTACCTCACCTGTAGAAGAATATAGAAGAGACAGATGGGGTGATATTTTGAGCTCGGATAGGGAGCATATGCAATTATTGTGTAATAACAGAGGCAGAGGGAGGCTGAGATAGAGAAATGACAGCACCTGACAGCTTGAAAGGCCAAAAGGAGAGGTTTTTCTCTGAAGAGATATGTGCCAGTGATGGTGCCATCCATCGCAAGGAGCGTAAAAAATCCAATATGACAATGAGATGAAAGTGGTCAGTAATCCATCAGAGGCAAGGACTGAGCTAATTTCCATACATATTTAAGAAAGATATGAGACGTCGGCAGTAAACAAGGTCTGTCCTCTCTCTCAGAGCCATGGAAGATGATAAACCTCAGCGGGGGATGAAGAGCGATGGAAGCAGACAAATAGAGTGAATCTTATTTACTGCAATGACCCTGAGTTGCAAAGACAATCTCTTTGGAAAATGTAGAGGATTAGAAACAGCCATCTATAGGTCATACATGCACAAAGTTTGTCTCATTTCATGGAATTATGTTGAATTCCAGCAAAGAAGGACGAGTTGGCGCCAATACGGCATTTAATGTGGGTTCATTTGGAACAAAGTTGAGAGGCAATTTCTTTGTGACAGAGGCAATCAATCCAGAAGAAATTCAATGATGCAGCTATTTACACCAGTATTGATTAAGAAGCTGGGGCCAGCACTTCAGCATGGTGTGGGGGGAGAAGAGCCTTCCAGAGAGAGCAGTAATCACCAGCTGGGGCAGGAAGCCCTAACCCTCCCTTTGGGCATGTGTGTGTGCGAGTGTGGGGCGTGTACAAGTGGGTTGAAGGTTTTACACTAAGTTTCAAAGACTTTTCAAACCACCCAGTCCGGCAGCAGCAGCAGCAGTGGGTCAGAAGGGGTTTGATCAGGAAAAGTGCATCACTTTGTGAAGTTAACAGAGTGTGACAGTGATGGATCCATGTGTTTATTATTGTTAATGGGAAAGAACCGTTTTAAAAAACAAAGAGATTAATGCAACAGTTTAACATTAACGGGAAATACACTTATTGACTCTTTTTTTCAAGAGTTGAATGAGAAGATAACTATTACTGTATTAGTGAAAAGTATGTTTGATAAAAATGAAATGGCAGCAATCGGTAGGTTAGCCTAGCTTAGATTTAAGACTCAAAACAAGGGGGTAAGCTAGCCCCAGTTCACCTAAATGTGTAGCATAACCTGCATGTATTAAAATGTAAAGCTTCTTAGCTAAACTAAGGTAAGCTAAGCTAAGCTATTTCTTTACCCTGTTCACACAAGCACAAAACTCCGCAAGATGTCCCAAAAGTGGGATAAATGAATACATGAGAATTCATACCAAAATGTTCATACTGTGAGTGCGTCCAGTTACACGTATCATTGATGTAAAGGTTAAAAAAGTGTCAGCGCTGGACTTTGTCGCTTCCTCACTACTGTGTGATATAAACTTCACAACCCCTGCTGGCTCGCTTCTAGTGCATATTCCTAAATATAACTTGCTGCGTTCACACATGGGATCAACCCAACTTTGTCTGGAAATGTGACTAGGGGTCGGACAGGAAAAGGTCTGGGAGAAGTTTGGCCATTTGTATTCACAAATGCAGTTTGAAAATTTCAGGGAAGGGGCGCCAATAGACTGGCGGTTAGAGTGTGCGCCATGGACAGAGGCCTTAGTCCTTCAGGTGGGCGGCCCGGGTTCCAGTCCGACCTGTGGGTCCTTTCCCACATGTCGTTCTCCACTTTCGCTCTCTCTCTCACTGATTTCCGGCTCTATCCACTGTCCTATCTCTGAAATAAAAAAGGCCCTAACAGCCCCAAAAAGAAAATCTCTAAAAAAAAATCATTAATAATTCAGGGAACATTTCAGGAGTTTTGCGCATGTGTGTAAAGGTGTGAAGATGTAAAATGAACAATACCATAATAAAGCACATTATAGTACAACTTTTAAGCTACAGAAAATCCACCCATGTAAAGTTTAAAAACTTCAAACCCTTTAAGAGTTTGCAAATTGCTTTTCAAAATAAATCCAAAGTACCCATGAAACATAGTTAAGCAGCAGTTTGTATTCTCACCAACCCTGAGAAGACAATCAGCATAATGTTTATACAGCTTATCATGTTTACGCAGTACAATAAGGGAACCTTACGGGGTATACTTTTCCAAAGATTCCTCATCCCGGTTATTTTCATATAAACTCTTGTTTATTTTTAATTTATGTAGCATTAGTGAATGTTTGGCTGTAAACTGTAAACTATAAAACGTTATTTTGGGGCTGGAGCTCAAACTAATAACTGGTACAACTACACAGAGGATAATGAGATAAGAGAGGAGTGTTGTTAGATCTTGTTGTATGGATTGTTAAAGAACAACTCGTTTATATGATTTCATGAAAGGTTTGCATCACTGTTCACGTCAGAGCAGGCATTTTTCCAAAATAAAGCAGCATATGAGAAAACAAAAGCAGAAGAAGGGAGCATTGTTTCAGCATCTTACATTTCTGAGAAGAAAATATGGTTTAGTCTGATCCTGATGTGTGAGATCTCACTGAGATTACGACTCTTACCTGGTGGGATGTAGGAACAGCCGCCTGAATTGTTCACCAAAATGTTTGTGCTCACAGTAGCATCGAATCTTTCGTCTGCACTGTGGACAAAATTCAGCTGCATCAGTATTTACATGCAAAACCATTTTACACATTGATATCGAAACAACCTTTGCCGAAACCCCGGTCAATGTTTTGGGAAGCAGCATAAACAAGTGGAACAGATGTGTTGGGGAAACACAAATATGTTTCCATCTCATTATTGCAGCAGCAGCAGCAGGTACACTCAAAAGAGGAGACACAACTGATGCAACAAGTCCCCAGAGATGGTTATTCAGTGGTTACCCTGAATCTCCACTGTTACCCACAATGCACTCTCTCTAAATGAACTCCACAGAGACTAAAGCATGGTTGAGTTTAAGTTTAAAGAGTTGCCTTGAAAAAGTGAAGAAAAAGAAACCTCATATTGCAGCAGCGTTTATTTCAAAGAGTCTCAAATGTAGGCTTTACTCAGAGGGACAAAGACAAATGGAGTACAATGCTTTACCCCTCATTAGTTGTTGGGAGAGCAGAGAGCACCTAATGTGATTTGTTCAGATCTTTCTTTTAAAGATTGATTAATGGTTATCTGTAAAACATTTTCCATTAGGGATTTAGAATAAAAAGCTCCTTCTACCGTCTTTTTACATTATTTTATTCATTTGTCTGAATGATTTATTGCTGCAAAGTGCTCCTCTCGACTGCATTGCATATACTTAAACTGCACGGCTAACTCTGAATGCTAATGTCCCTGTCTGAAAACCAGGTCACTTATTCTAGTCCCATCAGTGCAGTATCTTATAATTCATAGAAGCATTTTCTGATTTTTTTTTGTTTTTTTTTGTAATTTAACAAATACAAATTGACATGAAAGACAAACAGTTTGGATAGAAAATAAAATGAGATATGTAAACTATTTGGTTTCTGTTTGTTTTGCAGAATAGGGAGTTTCATTTTCTTTCATATTCTGATTGCGAGTCTTTACCTCCCTTCAGGATAGCCTGACACATCTTGTGACGACATGCGGGATGATGCTTTGCAGACCTTATAGAAGTTGAACTCTGCATTTACCAGAATACTCTGACATGCAGCCACCTGAATATATGTTTTTTATTCTGTAGGATTCACTCTAAAATAAATGTATTCTCTATTCTATTCATTTTGTTTGGGGGAAAGAAATAAGGCAGTTTTAATGTCATGGTGATATTTGTTTTGGTGCTTAGTTTTGCATTTGGTGCCCTTTGTGCTTCTCTTTCTGTTTCTCTCTTGCTTGGTGTGTTTGTGTGCAGCGGAGGGAGAGCGTGGCTGGCTGAGCTGGGTTTCTCTAAGGAGCACCTGGCTCTCAACATGTAATCACTCCTGCCATAAAAGCCTGGTCAAGACGCCACTCCTGTGCCAGATTATCCCGTTGCAGTCAGTACTCAGTGGCTCATTTCACGTTTCGAGTACATTTTTGACTGCAAGATTTTGTTTGAGTGTTTTGAATTGTGGACTGACTTGAGTGTTTTTGTGTGCAGACAACCTGTGTGCCTCACTACCCACCGGTGCTTCAGTGTGACATCCCAGCCTGAGAGTATCTTCTGATAAAGCTGGTCTACTTCTCTTTCAATGCCAGCCAGTCCTCAGTCGTCACCGCCTGCCTTCAGCCTTTTTGAATGAACTAAAGTTTACATTGAACACCCTGAAACCTGTCTTTGTCTCCGTTTCAGCATTTTGTGGAGTAAACACAAAAACTCTTAAGTTTTCCCAACAAACCAAGAATGACATTAATGTAAACTTGATACATTATTCCTCATGGCAATAACATTTTTCTCATCTTTAGCTTCTTTTCCTTTGCAGCTTCAGGTTTGATCAGACAAACGTTTCAAGTCAGATTCAGCCAAAGTTACTTGTTTCAACCTGGCACATGCTTACATGCTTACGAGTAGCTATGCTTCTGTGAGATATCATAAGCAGATTTGTAAAAAAAAAAGAAAAAAAAAAGGCTTGTTTTTAATGTTCTGTAAAGCACATCGGGGTTACATTTGCATGAAATGTGCTACACAAATTGAATAAAATTGAATTATCCAAGGTTATGTGCTTATCTGTAATTTGTGGTGGGTGTCTCCCATCAAAACGTCACCCTAGTGCTAAAAGACCTTCACCTGCAGAGCTTGAAGCACTGCTGTCAGAAATAAGATGAAAACATCATAATATTTCAGTGTCAGATGTTACTGAAATGAGGGGTCTACAAAAAATTAATAATAAGGGCAAAAGTTGTCTTTCAAGTGAAGCAGTCTTTTAAAATCAAAGGTGCTACATGGGAACGTTTAATTTAAATATCCATGAATGTCCTAATATTATTCTTTAATTCAGTTAGTCATCTATTAATTCACACCTCACTTATTTACTAAATACAAACAGTATTTTTTAAAAGCTTTCTGTACACTGTCTTACTTGTAAACGTCTTCTGTACCAAAGGTGAAATTATTTATCTAATCTTTGTTATACTGGTACCCTTAATGTAATTGAACATGCAACTTCAGATTGAATCTCTTTGTGTTGGTGTGATTCTATCAAGAAACTCAGTGTTTTCTTAATCACACTTCAATCAATCACAAGTCTTCACAAGACATATCACCACTATGTAAGTGTCCTTTGCAACAATATTAGGTTTTTTTTCTCTCTCTGCAACACAAAAATCCAACAATGCCTCATCCCCCCAACACCCCTCCTGATGTTGACACTGTATGAATGCTGAGTGTGACACCATGCATATCCAATTCCAATGCAGCAGATCTGTCCTCACAATACCTACCTGTTGTACAGCAGAATGTCTGGCTTCCAAATGCGATCGTCGGGAAACCTCACATTGTTCACACCTGGATAGTCTGCTGGATCCCACTGCAGGTAAGCATCGTTCCATTCCTGTGGAATACAGAAAGTTTAGTTTATTGGTTTATTTGACAGGGGCCATGCAGTAGCTCAGTCTGTAGGGAGGGACGGCACGGACCAAGTCCAGAAATTGGTCTGGTAGCTGGAGAGGTGCCAGTCCACTTCCTGAGCACTGCCAAGGTGCCGTTGAGCAAGGCACTGAACCCCAAAACTGCTCTGGAGTGTTCGCTGTGGGCAGCCCCCTCACTCTGAGACCTCTCCATTAATGCATGTCCATAGGATCCTGTCTGTGCATGTGTGTATTTCAGCCTATGTTTGTGTAGCATGTTCATTAAACAGAGTGTAAAAACTGAATTTCCCCTTGCAGGATTAATAAAGGATAAATTATTAACTGTTGGGCCAAAGCAAGGTATAAAGCTAATTTACATCTGTGGTCAAAACAGGGCTGTCTTCTTTGTTATGTCTGAATTGCCAAGTAGGATGTTCCTTGGATACATACATTGAACATCATGTACGAGTTATGTTTCACAGATTACCTTGAATGTATCCTTTCAACCTTATTGGGCTCTGGGTTTCTACTCTGAAACCTTCATTTGAAAGCTCAAACTGGGATTTAACACTGCTCTATGTTTGTAGTGTCAGTTATGGTTTCTATAATGGATCAAATAAAAGTATGTGACAGCAGCTGTAGGTAACATCATGCAATGCCACGCAACAAAAACAGAGTTCAAACTGTGTGCCAGGATTCAGAGGCATCTGGGGAGGGAAAATAAATATATATCCAAGGAACATCCTTGCTTTCCAATTCAGATAGAATAAAGAATACAGCCTCGAAAAAGGATGCATTTGCAGCTCTGAGTTTTAGAAACATTTGCTCTCTATAAATGACGGTAAACTCGAAACACAACCAACTGAAACAAAATGAATCCCAGATATTAAAAAAAAAGAAAACACAGCCAAGGTTAGGTGCAGGCTAAAAGCAAACCAGAGCTGTAATATTTTTAGCTTATTGTGTTTTAAAATCACTGTTGTTATAATATATTCCCTCCATGTGGAATCAATAACGGTTTAGCGTGTATTATTTGCCAAGTATAAATTATTGTATCTTCATATCTGGGGTCTGTTGTGGATATAATGGATGCTAATGGACATTGTATATTTAACATCACTGTATATATAAATACAATAAATAACCCTAACCCAAATTATTGAAAATAAGCAGAAATGAAAATTATGGAAAAAAAGCCAAACTATAAACTTTCAGTGCAGCACGCCCTTTTTATGCTCTTTACTGGAACCATATTAAACCGTCCCATCAATAAAATATATTTAAATACCTTCAAATTCCCATATTGACAACTATAAAGTCAATCACACCAGGCTGTACATTTCAGGACCCTTGTTCTCAAACCCAAAAGGTAACATCACTGTTTATCTGAAGATATTACGCAGTGTGTCACCAGTGAAGGAGTCTACAGCCACATTAGCAGCTCTATGATAATATGAAGCAGCTACGTTCACAGTGTTCAACATTTTAGATAAAGATAGCATTCTAACATTTGCTAATTAGAGCAAAAGAAAGGCAATACAGCTGAGGCATGCTGGGAATGCTAATAATTCTGCAGGCACTTGGAAATCAAAAAATAAAAGTCACACGCTCATCAAAGGTGTTAGAAATCACAGTGAAGGAAAAAAAAACATGTTTTAAGGAAATGTCATGGTTATCACACCATGAGTGTGACATTTTGCTTTGGAAAAAAAAAAAAGCCTGGTTGTGGCTGAACAAGAAAGTCAGAGGACTTCAGCAATATTAAAATTCCTTCCTCCTCACCATGAATAGTTGAATAAAGTTTAATTACAATCCATCCATTGAGTTTTTTTCAGTCTAGAAATATTTGATGGAATAACGAAGTGACATTGTCGTCCAGTAGAACCAGTTATCAAAGCCCATCTCCTGTAGCCATGAAACATACTGAAAATAATGAGTTGAGAGCTATGCTTGATTAGTTCCACAGGAGTTGTGTTATGAAATGATCCTAACACAACATGCTTAAAGGAGGAATGGGGTGTTGGCAGAGAGATAGAGTCTGCGTTTTTGCCCTGCTACCTACCTGTGTACCTGAAGAAGGTTGTGGTGGATGACTTTGCCTGTTGTTTAGAGGATGCAAAAATTAAATGGGCTGAGTTAGCTCCTCTGTGGAGTGAACTGTAAAGAAGCTATGGATCCCATTGATAAGTGGTGATGAATGTTTGGAGGTGCTTTGTTTTTTATGATTACCTTAAACCTTTAACACTTGTTTGTGTCAAGTCAAGTCAAAGCTAAAATTAATACAAAGACCCCCTGTCATGGTTTCTCGGGGGTCTCCAGATGCTGCAGCAGAAAATGCAGGAGAAAGGCCACTGCATCATCTGGGTCTCTCATTTACTTGTATGCAAATCAGAACCAAATGAAAAAATATGATGATAATTTCATGTTGCTCAAAGCTTTTTATAATGCAGTGGAACACAGCTACAGGCGTGTATTGGTTAAAACCCAAAAGGATATGGTGGTCCATGCCCGGTTCTACGAGGGTGCAGAAGGTTGATTGCACACTCAGTTTAAATGTCTGCACCCTCAATTGAAAGGATGCAAAAATACCAATATATAATTTTTTTAAAATAAGTAATCAAGGCTTTCGAATGACAACAGTGACACAGGTTCTGTTAATTACATCCATAATCTGATAGTCATGGCAGGAGCCAAGACCTGTCTGTTCACTGAAGACCACATGCAGGATCCATAACACCTATGCTATCTTTCATTGCTGCTGCCTGTCCCTGTAGCTGAAACCCCTTAATTCTCAGATTCACCCCAAGTCGTTTTGTTCAAGAACCGGACCTGTGGCAGTCAGTGCATTTATAACTTCATCTCTTCAACATCTTTAAACAACCACTCATGAGTAAAAATGAGTCCAAGTGTAATCTTATAGAACAATCTTTAATGTCTAAAAGTAGCTTTGGGAGATGATCACATTTTCGGACATTTAAACCTGTTTCACACACAAGAGACCGTAGATGCTTCTGAAGCTCTCTGTTCTATTTTCAGTTGGAGAGTTGAGTCGATTTCACTTGATGTGGGGTGGGAGAGATTTAGTGTGGATGCTGCTGTGTATCTATAAGGTAATTTAAAACAGACCACACGGCCTTGATACAGCTTGCTGACGGTGCAGCAGCAGGGAATCAGGGTAACACACTGGACAGGCTGTGATAAAACATAACGTTCAAACATTTGATAGGAGGGAAACTGGACATATAGGCTGCTGTGGAAAATAAGAAAGAAGACTGGGTACCAGAAGATATTAAAAACAAGACCGTTGGACAGACACATTTCAAACCAGACAAAGAGTGTTTTGAGACAAGATGCATTTCAACAATTTCTAAAATATATATATTAACATTTAGTAGACTACTGTTTGAGGTCCCTTCAGATTGATTGGTTCTTCCCATGCAGTTGGAAATACATCCCTACACGCTTACATACTCGTTCCTTTCATGGGGTCTTCAAGTGTGAGCAGCTTAAATCTCTCTATTTTTTCACATACCTGTGTGCGAGAAAGACTCTTACCATTTGTAGCCAAATGTTGGTGGTCAAAACTTGGTTCTTCTCATCCTGTAAGACAATTGTGATATTTGTCAATATTATTGGTTAGCTAGATCAGTGAGCTTCAATAAGCAGAACCTATTTTCTTTAGCAGTGGTTCTCAAACACATCACATTTACTTTCCTTTTAAATGATGAAAAGACATCCAAACACAGATGTTAATGTGCAGAGCAGATATTGCAAACACTAGATTAGTTATGATTATATGCAGACACCAAATGTAAAGAGTGAATATTTGATTTGAAAGGATTTTAGCTGTGAAGCGAGAAAAGAAACCAATCTTTATATTCATTGATTAAAACGTAATGACACCTGACACAGAGTGACCTTTCATTTAACCACCTTGTGCACTTTAAATTTATGCTAGTTATTAATAAAAAAGTCAGTATTGACGTACCACGTCCATGATCTGCAACAGAGTGAGGCCGAAGTTCACAGTGAGCTTCTGAGAATCATTTTGAACTGGTCTCACGAGCGGGTTGTACTGCTGCATCAGGTTCTCGTACAGTCTTTGCTGGTTTGGTCCTTGAAAAGAGTCTGCAGAAGAGAAAACTTGGACAGTAAATACCCTTTGATATGAACTCCAGAGAAAAATGAGAACACAGTGTTGGTTACATCTTTTGCCAATTCATTTTCAATGTCATTACCAAAGTCCCGTCTGCACAGTTATCTTTCTGCACAATTAAACCTTTTTAAATATAACCTGTATAACCCTCCACTTTAAGTGGTCTTGTAATACAGTAATTGGAAAAAATATGGTTCCTGGTAAAATTCATCTGAGGGACGGTTACTGAGCCCATGGTGGTATTATACAAAGAATTCATCCTTGAAGGATCTTGGATATATCCCATCTTTTCAGCAAATACGAGCAATGTTGCTTTCCTTGTGGCATTAGAGAAAACTCAATGCCACAGGGAGATAGCCCCAATTTCGCAACCTAGTGAACACAAAAATGTCTGTAGAAATTCTGCAGCAATTGCTCCAATAGTTACTGAGATATTCCCATTTGGAATAAGGTGGAGGACCAACTAACAGGCTAAAAAAAAAACACTTTCTAGAGCCATTAAACCTATGTGGCTCTAAATGGGGGAAATTATCACATTGCTTGGAACTGGACATTAACTTATGGTCAAAGAAGCTACATTACTTATTCTCTTATGTCTAACATCATCCAATCTCTTCCTGACCAATTGGATCATTATTACACTTTCTGATAAGTTCACAATCTTGTGTTTTTCCTACTCTGCTGTGTTGCTCAGTTTGAAGGTATCCATAACCCCTTAAATTAGACCTTACACCCTCTAATGTGTAACTCAACTCTCCTGTCTGAGGCCCTGTCAGACACGGAGAGCTGCAGATGCAGCTCTAAACTAAACCATGTGGGCTTCTAAGTCTGTCTGTACTAACACCTTTTTACTTTTAACATTTGCATTTCAATTAATGTTTGGCAATGTCTTTTTTTTCTTGTTTAAAGCATTAGAGTCCTTTAGCCAAAGCAGACTCTTCTCACACAGTGTGTGGCAGTGAACCACTTGCTGCTCGTACATTGCAATCATCCAAAAACAAAAGCTGGACTTCATTCATCTCACTGTGCAATCTCAAATCAGACCTGCCTCTCATTTTAACACGCTCTTGTCTCCCCTGTGAGTTATGGAGAGCTTTTGGCAGCACTTGTTCACTTTACTAATGGCCGTAGCCCAACTATACTAAACCACCTATGAGAAGCACATTATCCCAATGATTTGGCACAGGGCTCGTTGTCTCTAGACATCTCTACATTCTTCCACTTTCTGCCACATCCGGTTCTTTCATAAGCCCGACTAAAAGATCGGTTCAAAGCTCGTCTTTGTCCGTTGCTGAATCCCCCTCCCAATCCCACCATAATCAAATTTCACTACGAGCAGCCTAGCAGCAACATTACATCAATAAGTGATATTCTCCAGAGATGTTTCTGTAATACATCCCAGTGCATTACAGGCCATCAGTCCACATGAGGATTGAACAGCCTTATTACTGTGATGTCAGAGTGATGGACAACTGCTCTAAGTGCCCAAGACATGTGCTAAGACACTTAATTGTACATGTGTGATCACACACACACACACACTAACATGATGTCTCTCCATCTGATATTCTTTTCATAACTCAAGGAATTATGCCTGTAGGGTGTGGACTGAAGAGCCAGCATCAGTATTTCTACATCATTCAAAAAGCTGCAATTGAAAACAGTTTTATAATGTGTTTGAAAGTACATTTCTGAATCAATAGTACAGAAATCAGTCATTCTAAAACAGCACTTTTGTATTGATATTGGTATCTGTAAGATTTAATCTAATAGTCATGAACATTTTATGCATGTGAGTCTGTTTTGCATGTCTTGAAAGTTTTGCGAGTCCATGCAAAGGCTCTCACCTCTCATCTTTGTTCCCATGCTAACCAAACGTATTTACTCTACATACTCTCCTGCAGTGTGTCTCTGGTGACCGGGTCACACTGATGGTTACTGATGTCAACTTCACAAATTTACTTCTCCATTGATTCTAGTTCCTTTCCAATGTTGTGCTGATGCTTGAGTGCCCGACAGCTGTAGAATTTATTTTTGAACTCTGTTACCACTGGATTAAGGAAGTGATTGTGTCTGAGCTTGCAAAACAGAGCTTGCATGCAGACAACGAAAAACACATGTCTGCAAAACTTAATCTCGGGGCATACTTAAACGCACATGTTTGCACACCAAGTTGATGGATATAGCTTTTATTCTTATTTTATTTGACCTTTATTTAACCAGGCAGGTCATTAAGAACAGATTCTTGTTTACAACGACGGCCTGGCAAAAGACAGAAGCCTTTTGAGGGGGGGGGGGGGGGGTTGAATGTTAAAAGGACAACAGCACAGTTAGAAGATAGAAGATAGCTAACTTCAATGCATACAGTACGTGCACAACTACTTTAACAGTAAAAAAAACCTTTGTTTCTTGAACACCTTGTTGAATGATATCATCTTATAATAGTCACAGATAACCATTAAATTACAAATATTCAGAGCAGTCTGAGTAAAATAGATAAGACAAAGCTCATCTTCACTCTCAAGAACAACGCTCCCTAAGTTGTTTTACCAAATGTTCTCAACTGCGACATAACTTGTGACGCATAAATTCTCAATGGAGAAGAGTATATATGCTGAATGTTTGGAGTCCATACATTGCAACTGAAACATAGTGTTCAGTTAACCTGAAGGTCAAGTAAAAAAAAAAAAAAAAATATATATATAAGATTTATTTTTGGGCTTTTTGTGCCTTTCTTGTAGGGATAGGATGGTCTTAGTACGTATTTTCATGGATTCATTCATCTTGATAATTTTGTGGACATATCTTTAAATTGTGTCAACCATCTTAGGGTAATTCTTCTTTTGGGTCTGTGACGCATTAACCTCATATGGTGAAACATGTCAATTGTAGCAGATCTATGTTTGAATAGGAGCCAACTATATGTTGTCAGCAACTGTTTGCTAGACAAAGAGTCTACATCTGATACGTATACAAATCAGTGTCATGTCATCTTTATTGTTTTATAGTGATGTACCCAAATGGAAAGGAATTTGTGGGCTGTACCTTCGAGCAGAATATAAGCAACACTGTGTGATGAAGACTTTGCCATTTTGCCCATGATGGCCACTTTGCCAATGATTGTCAATGATTGTGAGATCTTGGTCAGCATGGGTCAGCGATGGTCTGCACTTTGTCAGCCATGTGTGTTGTGTTTCTGTGTTGTCTGACCACGGCTGAATAAATCTAAGATGATCCACAGTCTGTTTCACGTTTTCATAATTGCCCATCTACTACAGAAATAACCCCCACCTAACAGATGGATAGCGTCGGAAATCAGGGAAAGAAGTCATTTAAGGATACCTTTTTCCGATAGAAAAGGACAGCTGTCATTAAAAGTAACCCATGAACACCAAGATTCCTTCAAGTGTTTGTGTCGGCATGTTGTCACCCCTCCCCCCACGCTGTAAACCTAGGGGAAACACTGGTGTTGCATGACACATGTGTGAAAGACACAAGATCAGTGTCACTCTGTCTTAAAAAGAAATCCAGTACAGTTCAAACCTCTGTGCAGTCTTTGAATGAGTTCACTTTGGGTGACACTCAGTCTGTTTGTGTCAATCACACACACACACACACACACACACACACACACACACACACACACAGAGAGAGACACACACCGAACACACACATGCACAAACACAAATACAGACATAGCTCAAACATCACACATTGCATTTAGTCCACATGATAAAACTCTATAAATAATTATCCTTCTAGGTGGACATTTTTTTTATTTTATTACATGCAAACCTAAAACAGCTTTCAAGTTAGATGAAAGATTAAGCACAAAGCCAAGATGCTCTGACAGCTGCAGCAGTGACCTCTTATTGAAATGCAAATCTTGTTATTCACTATTACTCCGTGTTAGTCAACATCATTCAGCCTTTTGTACCCTCTGAGAAAACATTGGGGTTGGGCGGGGTCTGTTTTTGACCCTTAGTCCAACTGGACAGTGCCAGGGAGAGTGAAAAGGAGAGTTAGTGACACAGTCGTAAGGTGTCTCAGGTGCTAAACTTTGTAAGGGTTCATAGTAAAAAAGCAAGCTGGCCTATTAACTTTAAACATGCACCACTTACAGGAAAAATAACATTCAATCGATATGCTTGTTTCGGTGTTTGGTACAACAGGTAGCCGATTTATTTCCAGCTGTTTAACAACCGAGAGGAGAGCAGCTCAATATACACACGACACGCAAAAAAAAAAAAAAACACAAATTGCAATACTATGAGTTAAAAAAAAAGAAGATATTCCCGGTAGTGGGACTTGTGGGATAAGTATGGATGTTCATTGCATAGCCTACCTTTTATTGTTAAGGCGCTCACTGCGAGAAACAGCAGAAATTTGGGCAACTCCATGTTTCAGGTTTGTCTTCCGAGCGAGGAGTGAGAGCAGAGAGCAGAGGGACTCCTCACTTCATCTCTGAACCTGACGGGATGCGGGAATGATAAAGAGTGTGCGTGCGTGCGTGCGTGCGTGCGTGTGTGTGTGCGCGCGTGTGTGGTTGTCCGAAGGGTGGGGGGGCTAGGCCTATTAACTAACCCCTCCTCTTAATGAATAGCTGCTGTTGGACAGGTCAGAGATGAGATTTGACCTGTTGTGTACATTTAATCTCCGTGCTCAGTCTGCATCTTTTCATTCATTTGACATAAAGATCCAGCAGCATCCCCAGGGAGAAAGAACCAATAGCCCAGAAGTCCATACATCTGCATACATTATTTTATATCTTATTTTTTGTATTATTATCATTTTTTAAAGTAGGCTACTGTTTTATTTGTATACTTTTATTTGATTTTAAGAGTTTTAACGGAATGCACAAGGATGCTTTAAAAGTTGTCCAGCAATCTGAGCAACAAGCTCACTTCTGCAAAACATGGCGACATCTGCTGACCACTGAACAGAGTTACAATCACATTTTTAAACGTAGTTAAGTCACGTCTTCTTTTTCTGACGTTTGTTTCTTATAATTATGAAAACTGCTCATAATTTCTAATGTAAGAAGCTTGTCTGAGTAAAGATGTGTTAAACTCAGGACACCCAGCAGTTTACACACTTTCAGGACTTTTTGTAACTGCTACAATCTAGTAAGACAAATATATGCAACCAAAGCATTAACAATTATTCCTGAATATGTCTTAGTTTATTGTTGTTGTTGTTGTTGTTGTTGTTGTTGTTGTTGTAATTGTGATTTAATTCCCTTCTAAAGAGAGCGATAACCAGTAGGATAAACAGCAGTATAGAATAACACACTTTTACTTGCAGCCACTCTTTCTCCTTTGGTTTATTATTATGTTGATCAGCCCATTATATCATCTACTGTGCTTCATTATCAACTTTAGGATAAAACAAACATTTGTATTTACACTATTTTAGCTTTAGAAATTATTATAAAATAAAACAACAAATCTGTTTTTTGACTTCCAGTGTGTTTGCTTTCAGATGAAGCTGACACTAAAAATGAGCAGAGGAAAGGATTCTGTCTCTGACTACGAGATTGGACTTGCGTGACAATTGGTGTTAAATCAGCCTATAACAAATGTCCCTGTTGAGCACACTTCATAATGCTTTTATCAGTCTGACAGAGCGCTTATTCTAATTAAATGTGCACACAAGTCAAACTGCGGTTATAGCATTGATCTTAATTCATGATGACATAATGTTATTATCTAACAATGTAAATCTGACTGACTGTGACTCATCTTTTCAGGAGTTTAAAGTTTTACTATCAAGAAGTTACTGCATGCATGCACGTGTTGGGAGTAAAATCAGTATGTATGCTGACACTGTAGAGTTATAAAAATGTAAGTTTTTGCTTTACTGCACTCATGTTCACTTCATTTGGCTGCTACTCGCCGTTATATTGTATAGTTTCTGCTTATTATATGTCTTCACTCATGCACTTTAACTTATGTCAATACTGTCCATTTACAACTCTGTTTTTGCACATTTACATTCAATCTTCCATATTTAATCTTCCTATTTAAGACTAGTAATGCTTAGTTAAATCCTGGTTGTATATATTCACATTCTTTTTCACATTCACGGTTTTTATATTTTTAGTACTTATTTACTTTGTATTTAATATTATATTGTATTTAGATTTTGTGTTTTTTTACTCATATTGTGCGTTGGATAACCTGCTGCTGTAACGCCACAATTTCCCAGTTTAGGATCAATTAATTCAGGATCAAAAGTAATTCTATTCTATTCTATTACTACTTGCGCTTCAGAGGACAGCTGTATGGTTTCTTTCAACTAGAAATTAAAAAAAAAAACTATGGTCAAGTTATCATTGAGAGCTCTCCACAACAGGATGCAAAGTCTTTCTGCACTCCTTTAACTACAAAATTGCAAATAATAAAAAAATAAAAAATCATAACTTATTTGCAAGAACAACTCAGCCCTGAAGCGTCCAACCCCTGCGCTGCAGCGTGATTGGTGGACGAGGCGAGGATGGGCGGGAACATAGGCAGCAACCAGGAAGTGAAGTTAAATGACAGAGAGTATCACAGAGAGATTTTTACTTCAGTTCTGTCCAGTTCATTTTTTTTTTTTTTTTTTGGACCATAGGACTGACAGGGAGAACTGTTAGCGAAATCAACGAAAATGGAGACTGTGCGGAAACGAAGAGGCGGCGGTTTACATACCGACACTAGGTTTGTACCGTGATATTTACAGTCTGTGGTTTGGCTTTCTTTACCTTCTCGCCGCTGCTTAGTTTACACTGAAGGAAAGCAGTGAAAGTGAGGAAAGCGGTCGGACTAATGAAAGCGAAACAGTCAGCTGAATCAATTTTATTAGAGAGGATTTCAGTGCTGAAACACTCAAACCTTTGCCTGTGACATAAATAGATCCCCTGCAGCCTGCAGCCTGCAGCCTGCCTGGTTATAACACCTTCTCTCCTGCAGTCAGTCTTTGGCATTCCCCTCCCTCGGTCCCTCAGTCACATGAGTAACAAGTACCAGTGTTGGATGACTTGGGGTCAAATAGGCTTCTCTGGGAGCTGCTGTTAAAAAGGATATATTATTGTGCCTGTTAAAACCATAAACTGTAAAAAAAAAGTCAAACCCTGAGGAGACTTTATAAGGGCTTTATTGGGCGGCAGTAGCTCAGTCTGTGGGGACTTGCGGACCAAATATGGAAGTTGGTCTGGTAGCTGGAGAGGTGTCAGATCACCTCCTGAGCACTGCCGAGGTGCCCTTGAGCAAGGCACCAAACCCCCTCCCCACCATCAGCTCAGGAGTGCCTGCTGTGGGCCGCTCCGTCTCTCCGGCTTCTCTCCCTTACTGCATGTCCATAGGATCCTGTTTGTGCATGTGTGTGTATATTTCAGCCTATGTGCCTATGTGTCAGCGGATTTATGACTTACAGAGTGTATAAACTGAATAAAAGTAAATCTTAATCTTAGCTGTAGGTCTGTGGGAGATGATCGAATGGTTTTGGCATTTAAACATTTAATTAATCTAATATCAAGTGAAATGCTCCTGCTAAAATTGTCATGTCAAACTTATAAGCGTAACAGGGAAACATGGTAATAAAAAAAGACTACAACACATAAAACAATACTACAACGTAAAACTAGCTGCTACCAGCTGGAAAGGAGCACTAAAGAGTCAGTCCATGGAAAACAAATCATACATGTTGCTTGACCCCTGTGACCACACTGTTTATCGTTCATCTGGGAGCCTTGTTATGCACTGCAACATTTCCACATTAATCAGATTTACTACCCCTATGGTTTAGTGATTTCCATGTTTCCATCTTTTTTTTACTCCATTATTTCTAATACATTTTATCAAATGGAAGTCTAGTTTGTCTGGTTAAATGAATGAAAAAGATTGGTTTTCATGCAGGTTGACAACTCTATTACTAGTCCATGTTTCCTGTTGTTGATGAGCACTCTTATGTCCTACTGTATTTGCATTGACAGCCTTGGGCTGAAGAACCCAAAGTGTATTCAGCCTCACTTGTCCCTCTGTTGTCCGTGAACCATAGCGACTGTGTCCACAAGCAACAGGAAATTGCGCAGCTGCACGCAAAGCACCATAAGATGAATATGTCAGCATATCCAAATCTGACTGTGATTTAATAAAGTGCAAGAAGAAAAGAAAATCAGAACAGACAGCAAATCTGAGAGATAATGGTAATTATAAAGGGATTTACTCTGTATCTTGGAAGTCTTTGATAGTATTCATATACGAGGGGTTCCCAAACTTTGTCGCCTGTAACCCCCCCCCCCCAAAGTAATGGCAAAACATCACAGCACTCGGTGGACTTACAATATTTAATAAACAGGTACACAAGTGATGTCTGTGTCTAGATCTCAGTTAATGACTATGGGTTTATTTTAGGTTGAACGACTGGTTTGTATATATTTTCACAATAATTGGTAAAAGCAATTTGACCCCCAGGGGGTCCCAAACCCCTCTTTGGGAACCACTGCGCTAGACTTTGTGTGTCCCTCTACTGTCGCACACTAATCTGCCTCGCACAGCACTTTGTTGCCTGTAATGTGAAGGAGGCCTTACACATGAAGTAGTAATAAAATAAAACCTATTTAAACCCACCAATTTCCTACGGTAGTAAAAAGCATAGTAAACCTTTCCTATTATTCCCAACATGCCCATTAACCTCAGCCTCTGTGGCGCCCTTTGCTTTTGTAATGTTTCTTCATTACAGTGAATTACAGTCACTGTTAATGTATGTTGACAGCACTCCTGCTGGTTTAAAGGAGGATTCCACGCAGCAGGAAAATCAGCGCTTCCACTTTGACCTGTGGTTCCTTCTGACGCTGCAGAACTGGATACTGGACTTTGGAAGACCTATAGTCATGGTAAGGAGACCCAGTGTATGTTTCTCATAATCTCTGTAGTGTGAAGTTTTTTAAAAAGCCTAAAAAGTAATAAAATGGATGATTACACCCCAGTCTGTTTAACAGTAAATAAAACACCAGTAGTGTCTTTGTTATGTTTTAGATCATCCTTCCTCTGGAGTGGTTTCCTCTGAACAAGCCCAGTGCTGGAGACTATTTCCACATGGCCTACAATGTTATAACACCATTCTTAATGCTGAAGGTAAGTCCTTACAACAAAAAGTTGGTGCAAAAAAATCACACTACTACTGTACTACTGGTACACACTACTTGGTACTGTGCAAACGTCTTAGGCCCCCCACTAGCTTTGTTGATTTCACAAAGTTTTAAAGGCTTTATATGCGATTTTCCACACTTAAATGTAGCAGAAATCAAGTATATCCTCTGAAAATAACTCTGTGAGTCATGACTGTCTACAATGGGAGTAACACTTGAGTCCCACTGTCTGTGATGTTTTCCGAGCTTTCCGAGCTGTATCTAAACTCTGTTTACATCGCCGGGACGTCGGGCCAGCTCATCCCCTCGCGTATAAAAGTTGTTTAATTGAGGGACTAGAGAAAAGAAGAACTCACTGCTTCATTGAAT